GGTCATATATACAAATTTCATTTGTAAGTGTGCAAGAAGAGAAAAATGACATGTAGGTTTTGAGGACAAAGAGCCAGGTTATTAAAATTCCAGATATTTGTCTTAGAGACCTACAGAATTCCCTTAAGTCTGAAGGTCAGTGGTCCATCAAGGAAAAGAGATTGCTCTGCTGAGGAGTCTGCCCAGGGCCCCCTTCACATCCTTGTTCCTCAGGCTGTAGATGAAAGGGTTCAGCATGGGGTCACCACAGTGTACATCACAGAGGCAAGCATGCCTGCCCAGGAAGAATGAGTGAACGTAAAGCTAAGGTATTCTGCAAGGCTTGTCCCGTAGTACAAAGAGACCATACACAGATGAGACCCACAGGTGGAAAATGCCTTAGACTTGCTTTCAGAAGAAGACATCTTCATTAAAGAGGAGACGATCTGAGAGTAAGAGAAGAAGATCCCAGTGACAGGAAACACACCCAGCAGGGCAGTTGTTACATACAAGACAATGTCATTGATGTAGGTATCAGAGCTGGCCACTTGGAGCAATGGAGGCAGATCACAAAAGAAATGTGGAATTTCTGTACATGTATTAAAGGTTAGAGGCAAAATCAGTAGAAGGTGTAGCAGGGCATCCCAGAAAATGACAAACCAAGAAATGAAGACCAGGAAGCCACAGAGCTGGGAATTCATGATGATCAGGTATTTCAGGGGGTGACAGATGGCTACAAAGCAGTCATAGGCCATCACAGTCAGAAGGAAATTATCCATTCCAGCAAAGATCATAAAAAAATACACCTGAGTGAGGCACTCTATGTAAGAGATGTTCTTGTTCTGTGTCTGGATGTTGACCAGCATCTTTGGGACAATGGTGGAGGTGAAACAGATGTCCACAAAGGACAGGTTGGAGAGGAAGAAGTACATGGGGGTGTGGAGGTGGCAGTCAGAGCTGACGGCCAGGATGATGAGCAGGTTCCCAAGCACTGCCACCATGTACATGGGCAAGAAGAGTGCAAAGAGGGCGGGTTGCAGCTCAGGATCATCTGAGAAGCCCAGGAGGAGGAACTGTGCTATACATGAATTGTTTTCTCTTTCCATGCGTCTGCTGTGACTGGTGGAATAGGAGACAAATGCAATGTTTAAAGAACAGTGAACTGGAGCCTTGAACAGGTACCACTGTACTACATCACCCATGAATGGATGCCCTTCGCCCTCTGTTGGATCCTGCCAGTGAATGTGACTCACTCAGCCAAGTGGCTCCCATTCCATTTTAATTTTTGTTCTTCTTGATGTTTTCTTTACTTTAATTTGCTCTATCAATGGAGATTGAACCCAGGGCCTTGTGTTTGCTAAGCAAGTGCTGTACTGCTGAACAATTTCTCTAACCCTTCTTTTTTATTTTTTCTGCTTTGAAATAGGTTTCTCTGTGTGAGAAACCAGAAGCACAAACAATGACCAAAATAGATAATAGATACTGGAAAGGAGAAAGTGTTCAAATGGGAAGGGCAGTAAGGCGGGGAGGGGAAAGGGAAAGAAGGAAAATTAAAACTGTGCTTTTAAGTCAGACTTCTGTGACTAGGCTTTGGTCCATCTGTTTATCATTTGTGTGAGCTTGAGAATATTTTTCAATTCCATGAATTACAAATCTCACCCCTGAATTATGTGTGGTAAGTATTTGCTGAAATGTTAAATTGAAGTGTAAAATGAAATGTTATGATTCCACAAGGTCATGAGTTCAGTTCCTGGTACCGGAGAAAAACCAAAAAAAAAAGTTATGATTCATGGCATTTTTCTACTTTGGCTCCCATAAAATGCAACTGGCATTTCAAAATGTGAATTTATGTTCTTAATATAAAAAAAATTTTGCACTGCTATTATTTATTAATGCCTTCCTTAAACTGGGATAGACAAAAAGAAAGCAATTCTGACTCCTTTAGTGTAATATATTTTAATTCTTATGAGTACATATTTGCACTACCTGATTGCATTCATCATGGGGAGTTGATACATGAACATAACACATCCTAATTCTCATGTGGACAATGGACAGTTTACCTCATTTGACTGTCATGTAGAACTTCTGTTTTATGAAGATCCTTAAGGTGCCCTATTTCAGGGGTTGCGTGTCTAGTGAATTCTTCCAAGAGGAGGAAAATATGTGTGGACTAGATAGATAGGAGGGAAAAAATAAAGCAACATTAAAGTCAAACATAGGACATGAGAGAGAGTGTGTTCTCCTCTGTGCATAATTTTGAGTATGTATTTTCTCCAAATCTGAAGAGACCATTGACAAAATATGTGTTTGATGGAATGCTTGGAAGTATTCCAGGTGCATATATCAAAAAACCTACAAATATTAAAAGACAAATGTAAGAACTGAAAATAATAATAACTGCCATGCTGGAATAGGATCAATGTTATTACTGCCTACAGCATAAAGAATTGGCAGAGACAGAAAAAGACCAGGAGGAACAACTTACTATTGGGAAGTAAATGTCAGTCTTCTGTAAAATAGGGAAATTCTGAATGAAACAGGAAGAATAAGTCTTTGTTAATGAGAGGAATTAAGAAAAGAAGAAATGTTCCCAGCTGAGAGAACAAAATGCACAGTGTTCCTATCAAGTGACAGCTTGGTGTAAGCGGGGCTCTGAGAAGCCAGTGCAAGGCAGAGCAGAGGATGAGGGTCAGGACCAGTAGAGCTTCCTTTTCTCTTAATTCCCTACCACACTGGTGAATTTATGTTGATTTTTATATCTGATGTAATCATTTTACATCATATGTCTTTTCTGGGATTTACACGGTGCCTTTCATACTATAGACAATGAAGAAAAAGAAATGTTTAAGTGCAAATTCACTATCGGGACAAAAAGACAAGAATATTATGTACAATCTTGCAGTTTTTCACCTTCTTGACTATAGAGGAGAGACGAAGTGGCAAAATTAAATGAAATGTGTTCATGTGCCTCTGACAGCTGGAATGTGGACTGCCTGAAAAGTCTTTGGTTCCATTTCTAGCACCACAAAGCCAAAAGATATATTCATGGAACAATTAATTCCAACTATAGAAATGCAAGCCAGTTAAATATAAGGAAGTTTGAAAATTGAATCATCATGGAAATCAGTGAGTGATGATAAATAATAACTATAATAATAAAGTCTGAAAAAGTGTAACACACACAACTTTGTTTAATGACCATGATAGAGCCTCTCTGTAAATGAAGAAAGCCAAAGGCCTGTTCATAATCTAATAAAGACTAGATCTTTTCAAACCAAGGAATAGGAGAATACTTGTGGCCAATTCATAAACATAGAAAAGTAGCTCTTCTGAAATTTTACTTATGGATACTTTCCAGAGCATTTGGTAAACAGAGGGAGGGAAAGAGAGGGAGGGGGAGAGAGAGAGGCAGAGAGACAGAGACAGAGATAGAGACAGAGAGAGAAAGAGAGAGAAAGAGAGAGAGACAGAGAAACAGAGAGAGAGAAAGAGATAGAGACAGAGACAGAAGGGAATTAAATGGGAATACTTAACACAGCAAATGACAACAATGTCACATATGCTGTGGATACTAGGGTAAAGTGGTAAAAGCAACTATGTAAAATTTACAAGAGCTTTTCAAATCTTCAAGCTTACTTGGGAGCTACATTAGGAAAATTCAATCAAATATAAGAAAAAGTAGATGGTACCTCATCCGTAATTGCACTTCAGCAGGAAGATAAACAGTAACTAACTGAATGCAGAAAGCCTAACTGAAGTACAATTTACAGGAAGGAACGAAGAGGTATAGGCTCTTGAAAAGTTAATTCTTACTGGAAATGGGCTATAGACTCTGGATTATAAAGGAAACAGAAAAGTGACTAAATAAGAGACATCTCAATGAACATGAGTTTCTTCAAAACACTGTAGAACACACTCACCTTCAGGCTAAAGTAATATGGGACTTTCCATGCTCGTTCCAGAGTGAAAACTCCAAGACTACACTGCCTCCTCTTTTCTCCACTTTTGTCCCTGGGCCACACCAAGTCTCTCACACAGAAGCCAGCGAAGCTCTCTTCCTCACTGTCTGTCTCCAGGAAGGCCACCTGAGTTTTCTTGGAGACTGAATCAGAGAATTACCGGTGAGGGGCCACTGGGATGTGTTGAAATTTTCCACTGTGGTGAGGGTTGGATTCTCAGAGCTCCTCCTTTCCACTCTCCAAATGATTGCAGTCCCTCGAGGTAGGAAGAATACAACAGGATGGAAAGTTTTGGTAAATTTTATTTCAATGTAAAAGGTAGATAAAGGAGATGAATTCACTGCCTTCAAGGAAAAACATATATTTTCTTTCCTTTGATCTAAAAGTCACATGGTATCCCCTAAGGAAGTTTAATTTCTACAACAAGAAAATCCCAAGCACCATTTCTCTATGATTTGCCTCCCTTGGGAAAATTTGCAGATTTTGTTTATATTTTCATCTCCACAATGTTATGAAAGGACAGTAATCTTTTCTGTTAAAATTATTTTAAATTTTTAATTTTTGTGCATATTTTTCAATTTACAGTTCAAGTATATGTAGCTATTATATCTCACATTTTTAAAAAATTAAGAACTCTTTGCTGGTGTCTGTGGCTTATTGAGAGGAACAGTCAATGCTTAATATTTTCTTTTTTCTTGACCAATTTTATATGCTTGAATTTGGTAATTAGAATGACTGATCTGAAAACAATATGCAGTATAAGAACTACTGTTGAACTCCTACCATTTTGTATGATGAAGTTCAGCATCATTTCCAAAGTTTTTTTAAAATTATTTTTACTTTTTTTACTTGTTACTATCTTTGATTGTTTGATCAATCTTACAGTCTTATGTCTAATGGACTGAGCAACTTCGTTGAAGGTAACAGTACGTAATATAGCAACCACTGTAAATTCCTATCATTTTGTCTTGAGGCCATGTGTCATTTTTGTTGTTTTTGTGTTGTTTTGATTTTGTTTTCACTGTTGTGTTGTCAGTTTAAAAATTTTTTAAATAAAAAAATACAAATAAGCAAAGTAAAAGAGAAAAAAAAAATTAAGAACTCTTTACATCCACTCAGGTTCTTTAAAGAATTCACTATAGCATCATTGACTACAATTGTATTCAACATGCTATAAAACACTTTTCTTAAACTTCTTCATCCAATCTGAATAAAATTTTGTATTCTTTCGCCAATGTCTCTTCAACCACTCTCCCAATCTGCATTTGTTAATTACTGATCTGTTCTTTATTTCTCTGAGATCAAGTCTTTAAGATTCCATATATGTTTGAAGTCCTTTAAGATTCCATATATGTTTGAAGTCCTGCTTTACTGATATTTTTGTGTCTAGCTGTTTTTACTTAATATAATGTCCTGCAGGTTCGTCCATGTTGTATTGAATGACAGTGTTTCCTTTTATATATAGACACACAATACACACCATACTTGCTTTATCCATTCAGCTCTTGAGGGACACTTAAACTGATTTCAAATGTTGGCTGTTGTCAATAGTGATACATCAAATATGATAGCATAGATATTTTTCAACATACTGATACATTTCCTTTTGAGACACACTGAATCTTGAGCTTGCTAGTTTATGTGTTAACTGTAGTTTAATTTTTTGGTGCAACTTCCTACTGCTTTTCATAATGGCTGTATTTTCACATTCACTTGTTTTTAAATTGATAAATAAAATTGTATGTTTTTATTATGTGAAATATATATATTTAGAAGTATTAAACATTGCAAATGTTTAAATGTAGAATATCAATGGGTATGTTACTTCATATTGTTATCATTTTTGTGCTGTAATGCTTAATATGTACTCAGAAGTTTTCAAGAATAAAATGAGTCATCATTTACTGCAAATTAGATCTCTTGAACATATTCCTCATATTTAACTGGAGTTTTATATCCTCTGACCAACAGTTCCTCTGTGTGGACCTCCCAATCGCCCTTGCCTCTACCAACTACCATCCCTCTGTGTTTCTGTGTGATCAACATTTTGTTAAATTACATATATTTCTGATGGCATGTAGTATAGGAGTTCTTCTGTTTCCTGTTTCCATTTCTTAGTAGTATTCTTTCCATATTTTTCTCCA